TTTATCACCCTCCAATGTTTTAATCGGGCGGAAAGTGGTGTAGTGACAAGTGGCGCGCTTACCACGCGAGCGGTCCGGGGATCAAATCCTGGGTCGTGAGTCGCCCGGGCCAACCAAGCCTTCCATCCCTCCGGGGTCGGTTAATTGGTACCAGACTTGTCTGGGAGGATAAAAACACTGACTTGTACATCGGCTGGCCCCCGCAAGTCATTGTATAGGCCACATCGCATTCAAACGCCACTACGAATGTACAAATGGAAGTAGAATGCGTGCCGCATCCCAAAAGGGATTGATCAACGGCAAATGCTTTATCCTTTTTATCTTTAATGGTTTTATCCTTTCTGTGTTCTTTTTCTCCAAAAGGTTATCTGCAAGTGTTTCAGCAGTTACTCATATGACAGTAAAATCTATACAACAAACTTCACCAGTAAAGTCTTTTGTGCATACGACCACACAGGAGGAACATTCATTCGTGTCAGTATCGGCAGATAATCAGAAATCATGTGACTACGTCCTTTCTGAATCCAAGTAGGCTTAGTTTTGGAAAACCTTCTAGAAACGTCGAATACATTTATCAAACTCACAGAACATTCCATGGCGATGAAGAGTTCAAGCAAACCTTCATGAAAGCACAAGAAGCGATAAATAAAGGCATTCATCCTGTACTCATTCCAGTCGGAAAGTTCAGGTAAAAATAAATGAACCAGTTTACCGCAACGCGTTATAAAGGAACTATAGGGTTGTCATTCTTCAGGATCTTACTATGTTCGAGACGCAAATTTAGAAAACATTGCCGTTTCAACCCTCCGCATGAGGAAGACCGTTGCGGTCGCTGAACCCGAAATGGCCAAAATTTTTCCAGAGGATGGTAAGTGCGGTGGTACCTTCGATTTAGTAAGGAATGTGACTTCTTGCAAGACACTGGTACCATCTCGGCTTCAATCTAGGAATTTAATCGTTTTTAAAGGCAAGATTCGGGATAAAATAGGTGTGGAAAAGCGTTCAGTTATGAAGCTAGAGGTGGGAGGTGGTCTGTAAAAGAGAAGGAAAGCAAACGAAACCACCGATTACGCCCCGTACAGAGACCTCCCCTATTTCAGCCGCATTCCACCTTGGGATAGAGAAGAGGCGCGTTGGACGAGTTTCACGAACCTAACTCTAGTTGCTCCAGTGCCAATGACATTGGGTCGCAATGGGACCGCTGCCTCAAATGCGCCCGCGCTTTTCAAGCAGCGCCACGTGGCAACCGACAGCGGAGGGTGGGGCTTGCGGACGAAGGTGTGAGTTGCGGGTCGGACGAGCTCCTTGCGCCTTTGTCGCGCACTTTCAAGCGGCAAAAGGGGCGCGACATCAACGCTTGTCCGCCTGCCTACTACCCCCGGATGGAACAGGCGAGCGCGCCTAATCCCGGAGAGTGCCTTTAGGTCCATATTTAGTTTATACAATGACTTAGGAGCCAGATTTGTGTAAAAGTGGATGTTTTTTGTGTTTTTAGATGTTTGAAACTAAACAAGCAACCTTTGGAAATGGAATCTGACCATCATCCTGCGGAGGTCTCGATCTGCGATTGATTTCGAGTCTAAGCGCGCATGAGAGAAGCCACTTCTCAATACCCATTCGACCCGACTGAGAGGTAAAGGCAGCGGTGGCCATAAATACCATGTAAACGAAATGGAACGGTGCATAGCGGGGAAATCAGAGGCCTACCAAAGAAGACGATAGGTGGTGCTCTCAAGGAACAAAGGTGCGTAATAGCGGCGTGATAAAGCACCGAAAACTAACTCGTCAAGACGCCGCACTCGGGCACGCTCACCACTGCGAGGAAGGGACGTTTACGACAGTTTTTTTTAAAGATCCCGTGATCGCTCGGTTTTCAATCATGAGAGCCTTTCCAACTAGGCCGCCGTACCTCCTTATTGCATCCTTTCTTTCACGGGTTGCGCTCGTCAAAGCATTCGTCATCTCATCCTTGAGATTATCCAAACCTGGGACCAAATGATTCACATTTCATCTGAACCAAATTATTGCTACCGCTGCCCATAGCTGCCTATAGTGAGCGAGAACGAAGAGGAGAAGGAGTGGAAAAGGAGTAAATAAGTTGGCTTCGCTTGGGCACTTTGGGACAGTATATATTATATTATAAATATTTGAAAATTTTCTGACCTAAGTATTGGACTATGCGGAAGGCCCTCTATCATCATTTGCTTCATGAAGCAATTTCAGGATGTTGTGTTTCTGCTGTTTCGGACGGGCTATGTCTCATCCCGAATAACCGTTACTTATCAGAAACGACGCCAGCATGTTGAAACGAGCTTATCTACAGGTGATTTTCCTTCAATTATTCATAAAGAATTCGGCAGCGAAATTTTAGGTTTGTCCTTTCGACGCATGGTCGAACTTGCTATCCTAGGGCCTCAAAGTATTAGCGGTGCCGGCTGTAGAAAAGAAACGAGTTAAGGCGCTTATTGGTGAGGAGCATCGTCATAGGGAAAAGCTATGAGAAGCGGTTGGTTTACCAATGACGATGCTCTTCCATCGTCAGCATGTCCGACTCCTGTCCGCCTCTCAGCTAGCTCGACGGACTGCCTTCAGGGCCCAAAAATATCAGGTCGCTGCTCTAAAGCTGCTCCAAGAACAATTTCAGCTTCATATTGTGCCTAAAACGAGAGTCGTTCGGATGGCTTCACCCTCATTCTACTACTCTCGCTGTTGTGGACGTTACGAAATCAAACCGAAGGAAGGTAGTTTCCAGGTGAAAGATTTCAGAAGTTAAACCAGATAATGAGCTCAACTCGAAGAATTCACAGTTGGTATTAGTTCTAGTATCAAGATCCTGAACGAGATAGTAAACCGTAGGAAGAATAGGTCACACCATAACGCGTCACTTTGGTATCCATAAGGCACTTTCGCTACAGAAAGCATGTAGCGACAAGAGGGCGACTGAGTAAAAGTTTGACCGCTGCGACCGCTGCCATTTTTTGCTAGATAGTTAGCGGCACACTTTGCTCTACATCCTCTCCTACAACTCTCGCTCTTTCGCGCACATCCTCTCCATGCTTGCCGCGCTGTACCTCTCCATCGTGCTACGATCGACCGCGAACTGAGAATGAGGCCAAGTGGCTTCACTATTTCTCTTGGTCCTCGTCTTTCTCATTTGACAGCCTTTCCCGCTCTTGTTCATTTTCGGCGGAGGCTGCTTTGGACCGTGGGCGGACGTGCATACGAGCAGTACAAATGTAAATTTCAGCTCTGTGAATATCTTGGGGAATTTTAACTTTTAATTGCTTAGCTAACTTGAGAGGGAGAACTGCAGCGATGATTTGCTAATATCATTTCTTGAACAGTCCTTTTTCAGCTTTACGTCAAGGGTTACGAAAGTGCTCAGACGGTTTTTTCACGCTGGGACTACGATAAGTCGTTACTATCGGAGAGTGAGGAAGAGAGGTGAGAATCGATCCGATCGTACCATAGCTTTAGTTCAGATATACATCACTCGGCTATACTCGACAGAGCATTCGATGGTAACTAAATGGTCACTTTTTCAGATTCAAATATCTCTTCCAAAAAATGATCGTCCTAGATTATATCATACGAAACACAGACAGACATATGGACAACTTACTGATAAGGTATGCTTTATAAATTTACATAGCGAATATATCTTCGATCTATTATTAGGAAAGAAATACCCTCCCTTTCAAAAAACGAGAAGAGCGTTGGGTGCAGACCATACACCACAAGTGACGACGGCCTCCAAGTGGTAGTAGTTTTAGCTGATTTTTGGTAAATGATAGTTGTAATTAGTGACAACTGATAGAATACAACTGCAACAGGCTAATCATTTCATTGGCAGAAAACATTTACATTTTGTGGAGGCCGTCGTCACTTGTGGTGTATGGTCTGCACCCGACGCTCTTCTCGTTTTTTGAAAGGGAGTATACGATCTAGGCAATGACGTTTACAATGACTTTAATTCTAAATAGCACTGATTTTCATTTACACAGAAGTTTTCGGACATCCGAGCAGAAGCTGTGTGGGACTTAAGTTTGAGGACGAACGCACCTTCCATCTTCTCAGGTCAATTGTTCTTCACAAAACTTGCCTTGGAAGACAAAGCACTGGATTTCTCACCGGCTGGTATCCCGCAGTCATTATAGGGGCCAATACCAATCAAGATGCCCCTACGTTCTGAAGTTTCCTGCCAAGGAAATGATCCAGCCTGTTGCAGTTTTATTCTAGTCACTGATTGCAACTATCGCTTATCGACTATCACTTCGAACCACTGAGAAGTTACTTGGAGGGTGCCAGTAGAGCCTGTAGTGCATTCCCTGACCGCCGGGTTCAAAGGATAGCAGTTTGGACACATTTCTGAACCCTTTTTGAACGGAACATTTCTCAGAAGTGCTAAGACAAGGTTCTACCAATAGAACTCTTTGTTTTTTCACTTGTCAAGTCCGGAGACAACACATTCACAGAGGTAAAGTGCATCAATTAGGGGACAT